TAGAAATCTCTTCAAGAAAACTGGTAATATCAATGGAACATTTCATGCCAGGATGGGCATGATAAAGGGCAGAAAACTCAAGGACCTAACAGAAGGAGAAGAGATTAAGAAGAGGTGGCAAGAATACACAGAAGAACTATACAAGAAAGGTCTTAACAATCCAGATACCCACAATGGTGTGGCCACTCGCCTAGAACTGGATATCCTGGAGTGTGAAGTTGGTGAGTTTTAGGAAGAATTACTATGATCAAAACCAGTGAATGTGATGGAATTCCAGCTGAGCTATTTGAAATCTTAAAGACACTGCTGCTAAAGTGCTGCACTCAATAGGGAAAATTTGGAAAACAGCAGTTGCCACAGGACTGGAAAATTTCAATTTTCATTCTAATCCCAAAGAAGAGCAGGTCCAAACAGTGTTCAAATTACTGCACAGTTGTGCTCATTTCCCATGCTAGCAAGGTTATGCTCAAAATCCTTCAAGCAAGGCTTCTGCAGTACGTGAACCAAGAACTTACAGACATACAAGATGGGTTTAGAAAAGGCAGAAGAACCAGAGATCAAATTGCCAACATTTGTTGGATCATGGAGAAAGCAAGGGAGTTCCAGTAAAACATCTACTTCTGCTTCATTGACGACACTAAAGCCTTTGATGATGTGGATCACAACAAACTGTAGAGAATTCTTTAAGAGATGGAAGTACCAGTCCACTTTACCTGCCTCCTGAGAAATCTGTATGCAGGTCCAGAAGCAATAGTTGGAACCAGACGTGGAAAAATGGACTGGTTCAAAACTGGGAAAGGAGTACATCAAGACTGTATATTGTCACTCTGTTTATTTTACTTAAATGCAGAGTACACCATGTGAAATGCCAGGTTGGGTGAGTCACAAGTTGGAATCAAGAATGCCGGGAGAAATAACAACAATCTCAGATAGGCAGATGATACCATTCTAATGGCAGTAAGTGGAGAGAAACTAAAGAGCCTCTTGATGAGAGTGAAAAAGGAGAGTGAAAAGCTGGCTTGCCACTCAACATTAAAAACAGTAAGATAATCACATCCTGTCCCATCACTTCATTGCAAACAGACAGGGTAAACATGGAAGCAGTGACAAATTTTATTTTCTTGGGCTCCAAAATCACTGCGGACAATGACTACAGTCAAGAAATTAAAAGACACTTGCTCCTTGGAAGGAAAGCTATGACAAATCTAGACAGCATATGGAAAAGCAAAGACATCACTTTGCCCACAAAAGTCCATATAGTCAAAGTGGAAGCTTTTCCAATTGTCATGTGTGGATGTGAGAGTTAGTCCATAAAGAAGGCTGAGCCCTAAAGAATTAATGCTTTTGAATCATGGTGCTGGAGAAGACTTTAGAGAGCTGCCTGGCCTGCAAAGAGATTAAACCAGTTAATCCTAAAGGAAATCAATCTTGAATATTCATTGGAAAGACTGATGTTGAAGCTGAAGCTCCAATACTTTGGCCACCTGATTTGAAGATCCAACTCTTTGGAAAAGACTGCTGCTGGGAAAGATTGAATGCAAAAGGAGAAGAGAGTGGCAGAGTATGAGATGATTAGATAGCATCACCGACTCAATGAATTGAGCAAACTCCAGGAGATAGTAGAGAACAGAGGAGCCGAGCATGCTATAGTCCATGGGGTCACAAAGAGTCAGATATAACCTAGCAACTGAACAACAACAACACACAAATGTAGCTTACCAATAAATATTGTTAAATTAGTTGCAAGATTGTTAGACCAGGAATCAACAAGCTTTCTAATTCTATGACCTATGCCTCTTTTTACATGAATATTACACTTGATTTGAAACACTTACTGAAAGAACAGATTTCTAATTCTGTGTCTGCTGCAAACTAGCATAATATTAACTATGTGTATAGAGCCACTATATATATGACTTTTGTGGGCAAAATGATGTCTCTGCTTTTCCATATGCTGTCTAGGTTTGTCATATCTTTCCTTCCAAGGAGCAAGCATCTTTTAATTTCCTGGCTGTCCATAGTGATTTTGGAGACTAAGAAAATAAAATCTGTCACTGCTTTCACTTTTACTCTTTCTATTTGCAGTGAAGTGATGGGACAGGATGCCATGATCTTAATGTTTTAATGATGAGTGGCAATGTATATGATTATGTATATAGGACCAACTTCCTCTCAAGGGACTTCCTCATCTATTAAATAAGGGTGTTGAAGCCAATATCTTATGTTATCTGGATCCATCTAGAATTAAATGATCTATTTCTCACTACTCAATGTTTGATTATATGTAAGGAAAACACATTTTTAAATTGAGGATTTTGACACATAGTTGGGGATATATCTCTCTGATGTGAAATGCCTAAGGTCAAATGAACAAAAGGGTTTGTGGGATTTCTGGCTGTTTTGTGAGTAGGTTTACAGGGAATCACAAATGCTTGTCATGTCTTAGGAGGGAAGCTCTGAATGGGAGACACTATACTGGATGAAAGTGCTCTGTGATTTTCAGGCATAAAAAATATAGGGCTCCAAGTGCAGTCTCCTTATATTTGCATATAATGTAAGTACTTTTGAAAAGCTCAGAATACAATCTTTGTTGTCCCCAATCTAGGCTTGAACAAGCCAACTTTGTCAACACTTCCAATAGCTCTGTGATCATGGACAATTTCCTACCTGCAATTGTAGAGGCATTTCATACACAGAAAGTAATAAAGCAAAGACTGAGCAAGCAGACAGTATCATCACAGGAGAGGAGATCTCTGGAGTGCTAAATAGAGGTTTTGGTAGAGCAAAGAGAACAACACTCTAACTGGGTGTAATACTAAACAACAAAGACTTATGGAGAAAATGATATTAGTATCATGTAGGATTTTTCTTCACAAATTAGAAAACAGAGGTGACCTATACCTTTCCCCAGTAGATCTTTCTAGATCCCATGAACAATATTCCACCTTTCTCTCCTCCAACTCTCAAATGTCCTAGCTATTCCTTGATAGCACTTACATCCAAAATGTACTGATAGCCAAAACAATCTTGAGAAAGAAGAATGGAACTGGAGGAATCAACCTTCCTGACTTCAGACTACAAAGCTAACGTCATCAGACAGCATAGTACTGGCACAAAAACAGAAATGCAGACCAGTGGAAAAGGATAGAAAGCCCAGAGATAAACCCATGCACCTGTGGGCATGTTATCTTTAACAAAGGATGCAAGAACATACAATGGAGAAAAGACAGTTTCTCCAATAAGTGGTGCTGGGAAAACTGGACAGCTACATATAAAAGAATGAAATTAGAACACCCCCTAACACAATACACAAAAAGAAACTCAAAATGGATTAAAGACCTAAATGTAGGACCAGAAACTATAAAAACTCTTAGAGGAAAACATAGGCAGAACACTCTTTGACAAGATTCTCTATGACCTGCCTCTTAGAGTAATGGAAATAAAAGCCAAAGTAAACAAATGGCACCTACTTAAAAGCTTTTGCACAGTGAAGGAAACTATAAACAAGGTGAAAAGACAACCCTCAGAATGGGAGAAAATAATAGCAAATGAAACAACTAACAAAGGATTATCCTTCAAAATATATAAGTAGCTCATTCAGCTCAATAACAAAAAATAAAGTAACCAATCAAAAATTGGGCAGAAAACCTAAACAGACACTTCTCCAAAGAAGATATACAAATGGCTAATAAACATATGAAGAGAAGCTTAACATCTCTAATTATTAGAGAAATGCAAATCAAAAGTACAATGAGATATCACATCACACTGTTGAGAAAGGCCATCATCAAAAAATTTACAAATGCTGGAGATTGTGTACCAAAGGGAACTCTCTCGCACTCTTGGTGGGAATGTAAACTGATACGGCCACTATGGAGAACAGTATGGAGATTCCTCAAAAAACTAGGAATAAACTACCATATGACCCAAAAATCCCACTACTGGGTATATACACTGAGGTACGGTTTCATCATTGAAAAAGACACATGTACCCCAATGTTCACTGCAGCACTATTTACAATAGCTAGGACATAAAAGCAACCTAGATGTCCACCAATGGATGAATGGATACAGGGATTGTGGTACATATGCACAATATTACTCAGCCATAAAAAGGGATGCATTTGACTAAGTTCTAATGAGGTGGATGAACGGAGAACATATTAAACAGAGTGAAATAAGTCAGAAAGAGAAAAACAAATATCATATATTAGTGTATATATACGGAATCTAGAAAGATGGTATTGATAAACCTATCTGCAGAGCAGCAATGGAGATGCAGACATATCCACTGGAAATTTGCAGTATGATGCAGGGAGCTCAAATCCGCTGCTCTGTGACAACTTAGCAGAATGGAATGTGGTGGGAGGTGGGAGGGAGACTCAAGAGAGAGGGGACATATGCATACCTATGGCTGATTCATGTTGATATACAGCAGAAATCAACACAATATTGTAAAGCAATTATCATCCAATTAAAAATAAATTTAAATTTGAAAAAATGTACTGAGCACCTATCAGAATGAAATGTAAAGGATCTGCAGAGTGTTCTATGCTCTATAAGAATCTAAAGCCAGAGTCCAACCACCTGGACTCTGCAATACAAAATCTCTCTCATGCACACATGACTGCACACATTCTGACCCCACCCCCAGCACTGCTGCAGATTCTCAGCAGATCTGCCTTCAACCTGCAAAGTATTATTAAGACTCAGTCATGAAGCTTTGGAGAAGGCAATGGCAACCCACTCCAGTACTCTTGCCTGGACAATCCCATTGATGGAGGAGCCTGATAGGCTGCAGTCCATGGGGTTGCACAGAGTCAGACACAACTGAAGTGACTTAGCAGCAGCAGCAGCAGCAGCAGCATGATGCTTAGTCTCCAGAGGCTTCTGATCAAAAAGGGCACAGAGTGCTCGTTACCAGATACCTGGTGGAGATCAGGTGAAGAGTGTGAACCCTGGAGACAAACTTTAATTACAACTTCCTGCAGCAGCCTCACCTGTCTGGCTCTTTCAGTGAGGGCAGTGACCTCAGCCTCACCCAGTTGTTGCACAAGCTTGTAAAACAGGCTATTACTGTTTTGCAGCAAATCATGTGGTGGACTATATTCTTTCATTGTCCCTGAATCCAAAACCTGTTAATCAGCAGAAAGAAACTCATTAGCAGCATGCAATGTATCCCAGCAACATACTGTAATTCAGACAATATTTTAGAAAGGGACACAAGAAGAATGGAGAGAATCTATTTAGGTGGTAGGCCTTGTGGTGTGTAAATGGTTTGATTACCTTGTTTTACCAGGCAAAGTCCTAATGAAACTGTGCAACCTCAGACTTGGACTTGAACCCACGGTCTTTTAGTTAGAATCACTCACCTGGTGTCTGGATGTACTGAAGTTCAGGTGCTTTATGTCTCCACTCAGAAAATATTCAGTGAAAGACAAAGTGATAGGTAAGAAGTGGGTTTATTTAGTGAGATAAAGATTCTATTGTATCTCTATTGTTTACTTGATAAGAATGTGTTCCAATAAAACACTTATTAGTCAAAAAGTTCACTCTCAGTACTTATATTATACAGAAGCCTTAAGAATATGTTCTAGAATATTGGTCCAGATTTCTTCTTCACCTTACTGTAGCAAGAATCACAAAATCTTAGGAAAACTACCTTCTTACAGTGTTTCCATGACAGATTCTTCTATTTCAGCTAAATTTTATTGAGTCCTCATTTTCAAAGAATTCACTGATTTAGCTATTACTATGCTCTGTTTCCCTGGAGAAGGAAATGACAACCCACTCCAGTATTCTTGGCTGGAAAATCCCATGGACAGAGGAGCCTGGCAGGCTACAGTCCTTGGGGTCACAAAGACTTGGACATGACTGAGCGACTGAACACACACATACAGATTCTATAGACAGACTCTGCAGGCCATCTCAAAAGGCAAGAGTGGCTATAGCAGAAACATACTCAAGGGACAGACTGTGGATCATCTTAGAAGGTGAGAGGCCCTGAAATATGGTGGGATTAGTTTTTATGGTCTGGTTAATTTTATAAGCTAATGAGTGGGAGGATTATTCCATCTATTTTTGGGAAACTGGCAGGGATATCCAGAAACTGGGCAACCACCCACCGTTTTTATCCTTTTATGGTCAGCCTTGTAACTGTCATAGCACCCGTGGGTGTGTCAGTTATTACTAGCATACTAATGTATTACAATGAGCATATAATGAGGTCAAGGTCTATGGAGTCGAATCTTCCGCCATCTTGTAGCTAGTTTGTTCTGATCAGTTTGTCATATCCTCAAAGGCTACCTCAGTCTTTTAAAGGTTGTGGCCTGTCCCCTTCCCTCTTATTCCACTAGGCTGAACTTTTATTGTTATATATTAGGAAAGGAAGAAAATGAAAGCTTTAGACTATGATGAGGGGCACTCAGCAGTCTGTAGCATTTTATATTTGCCAAGGGCATTTAGGGTTGATATCATTAGTTAGTGCTTTTAGCTCAGACTCTGAGTTTTGAGGGCTATTTATACAGGCATTCGAAGTTTAGAGATTTCTTGATTCAAAAAATAAAACTCAATTTAGCTAAAAAGTAAGTTTATGTCATATAAACTAGATGGCAATGATAACACTGCAAATTAATTGTCAAGTTGGTTTGATAGAACCTGAGCAATATTTGGGGGAAAAGGTTTCTGAAATTTCCTGAGTCCTGGAGTATGTCAGCTGCTAAAAGAGAACCAAAATAATCATGATGGTGTGATCACTCACCTAGAGACAGACATCCTGGAATGTGAAGTCAAATGGGCCTTAGGAAGCGTCACTATGAACAAAGCTAGTGGAGGTAATGGAATTCCAGTTGAGCTATTTCAAATCCTAAAATATGATGGTGTGAAAGTGCTGCACTCAATGTGCCGGCAAATTTGGAAAACTTAGCAGTAGTCACAGGACTGGAAAATGTCAGTTTTCATTCCAATCACAAAGAAGGGCAAAGCCAAAGGATGCTCAAACAACTGCACAATTGCACTCATCTCACACGCTAGCAAAGTAATGTTCAAAATTCTCCAAGCCAGGCTTCAACAGTAGGTAAATTGTGAAACTCTAGATGTTCAAGCTTAATTGAGAAAAAGCAGAGGGAACAGAGATCAAACTGCCAACATCTGCTGGATCATCAAAAAAGCAAGAGAGCTCCAGAAAAACATCTACTTCTGCTTTATTGACTATGCCAAAGCCTTTGAGTATGTGGATCACAACAAACTGTGGAAAATTCTTCACGAGATGGGAATACCAGACAACCTGACCTGTCTCCTCAGAAATCTGTATGCAGATTTTCAAGCACTTTTAAGAAAATTAAATGTGCATTAATTGTTTTAAACACCATGCAGGTCAGGAAGCAACATGGAACTGGACATGAACAACAGACTGGTTCCAAATCAGGAAAGGAGTATGTCAAGGCTGTATATTGTCACCCTGCTTATTTAACTTATATGCAGTTTACATTACGAGAAAAGCTGGGATGGATGAAGCACAAGCTGGAATCAAGACTGCCAGGAGAAGTATCAGTAACCTCAAATATGCAGATGACACCACCCTTATGGAAGAAAGTGAAGAAGAACTAAAGAGCCTCTTGATGAAAGCGAATGAGGAGAGTGACAAAGTTGGCTTAAAACTCAACATTCAGAAAACTAAGATCATGGTATCTGGCCCCATCTCTTCATGGCAAATAGATGGGGAAACAATGGAAGCTGTGTCAGACTTTATTTTTCTGGGCTCCAAAATCACTGCAGATGGTGACTGCAGCCATGAAATTAAAAGATGCTTTCTCCTGGGAAGAAAAGTTTTGCCTAGACAGCATATTTAAAAGCAGAGACATTACTTTGCAACAGAGGTCCATCTAGTCAAAGATATGGTTTTTCCAGTAGTCATGTATGGATGTGAGAGTTGGACTATAAAGAAAGCTGAGCGCTGAAGGATTGATGCTTTTGAACTGTGGTGTTGGAGGAGACACTTGAGAGTCCCTTGGACTGCAAGGAGATCCAACCAGTCCAATCTAAAGGAAATAAGCCCTGAATATTCATTGGAAGGACTGATGCTGAAGCTGAAACTCCAATATTTAGGCCATCTGATGTGAAGAACTGACTCATTTGAAAAGACCCTGATGCTGGCAAAGATTGAACATGGGATTAGAACAGAATGACAGAGGATGAGATGGTTGATCACTGACTCAATGGACAAGAGTTTGAGTAAACTCCAGGAGTTGGTGATGGACAGGGAGGCCTGCGTGCTGCAATCCATGGTGTTTCAAAGAGTTGGACATGACTGAGTAATTGAACTGAACTGAAAAGAGCACTGAATCTCTTGTCAGAGAGGTCAAGATGCTTCTTGAATTTGGCTGTGGTTGTAGTTTACTATTCTGAGAGTGAAAGGCTGGTAAAAAGAGCTGCTACTTAAGCAGCTTTAGCAGAGCTGCTTTGCATAGAACTGTGTAGAAATCCAGTTTTCTCTTTGGATAAGATTAAAGATGCAAGAAAGAAATTGGGCTCCAAATTCCAGTGATCACAGCCTGGCAGAGCACATGGTGAAGCCCAATCTGAATTGCTGAGGATCTGAATCTCTTTTGTAACAATTTATCTTTCCTTGCTTCTTTCTCTTTTTCCTACTGCCTACCTTTCAGCCACTTTATTGCTCATTAATATGCCCACTAACCGTAAACTGAAAGGGAGAGGAAGGGGCTCTTAACTCTGCCTTTCTACCCATTGGTGGCTTTGCTTAATAGTTTCAGAGAGAAGGAAGAGTGTGAAACAATTGGCCTAAATGATGTACCTAGGAAAACAGTTTTGATGTTAAGTGGTTTCCTGGTGGCTTAGACAGTAAAGAAAATGCCTGAAATACAGGAGACCCAGGTTCCATCCCTGGGTTGGGAAGATCCCCCAGAGAAGAGAATGGCTACACACTCCAGTATTCTTGCCTGGAGAAATCCCATGGACAGAGGAGCTTGGCGAGCTACAGTCCATGGGGTTGCAGTGAGTCAGGCATGACTGAGTGACTAACACTACTACTACCACTACTAGAGTAAATGTATCTTAAGAAAATACACTGAAACTAAGAAGACACAGGTTGCTTTTCACATCTAGGTATTGTACTTAATCCATCCTATGCTATTTAGTGGGAAATGTTTATTAAGTCTCATAAAGGCCATTTTCCCACTAATCTTTTGTTAACTGCTAAGAGCAGCTTTCTCAAAAGAGCTCAAGAATAATTGAATCTGCCACATCCACCTAATTATTAAAATGTCCTATAATTTGGCATGCCGATTTTAGATACCCTAAATGTGCAATTTTACTTAAACATGGAACATATAACTACTCCTCTTGACATTGAAGAAGAAAAAAACACAATTTTAAAACACAGGGCTCTCTCATGCCAAAGACTAAGTAAATAAGTACATGAAATTGGGGCAGGAGACAGATGGGCCCCAGGCTGCCCAGCTGGAGTTTGTCCTCTCTGGACAGACACTCCAAGAAGAAGACAATAGCAGGAGGGAGGAGAAGCTGAGCTCTGCCCAGATAAAAGATAAACACACCACATTTTTTCATTCTCAAGGTCAAGCAGACATTCCTACCTACACAAGTGCAGAAATGTTCCTTGGGCATCAAAAACAGAGGGGTCACCACCCCACTGTAGGTTTTGTCAACCTACCCATAAGCCTCTTCTCTAGGATCCATCTTGGTTAAGGGATGTATGCACACACATGGGAGGACCTTGAGATAAACCAAGTACAGACTCAGAGTCAGATAAAACAGGATGATTGGCCAAAGGAAACCCAGAAAAAATGCCCCATATAAGTGATTTTAATTATCACAAGTGTACCAGTCTTTTTATGAGCCTGCCTATGTGACTATCTACATGTTATCCTTTTCCCTCCTACAGAGCACTTTACTCGTTTCACTACTTGCCATCTGTTTGTGTAAATTCACTTATACAAAGTCAGAAGTCCAGGGCCTTGTCACTGGCTACTGGCCCTCGAGGCCTAGTGCCTGGCATTCAGAGCTTTCTATGCCTCTGCCTGATTTTAATCTCTGTCCAGGGACCCAAAATCCTTCTTCAAGATGCTTCAGGCTGAGGCTACCTGAGATCAAAAGGTTC